CTACTCTTGTAATTATTCCTTTTATATGTTTTTTTATTTTATTTCTTTCTTCCATAGACAGGTTTTGTGCCGGCGATGCTAAAGGAACTGTATCGTTAGTATTAGAACCCTTGAGCTGTGTGCCGGGGTGGATTTATATAATTATTGGACTTTATGCTTTATCCTATTCTTATATATTTATTGGACACATAATGAGCTTGTAATTGGAATTCTCGCTCGCAATATCACATTGATATTACGGAACTGGAGCAAAAAATATTCAGGCTTTTTGAAAGGTTGGTTAGAGGTATTGGAGAGAAAGTAAAACCAGGGCTATCATTTGGAAAAGGCTCAATTGAATATTTACAAGGGTAGAGGTTGCACCCAACGAATAATATTCATTGAATATTCATTCAGTTAATTGGGTATTTTATTTTTTCATTGATATTAAAAAGTGAATATTTCAGTGAATAACTGATAATCAATATCTCATATAACTGGATTGAAATGAATTTTTCATGTTCAAATAAATTCTCATTTAATTCATCTGTTTGCTCATTTCTAATTAATTAAATTAATTATTCCACTTCCATTCCTTTAAAATGGAAGAAGAGCATTCAGTCACCATAATATGAAGAGTAATAATATCAGTAATGAACCTTCTGCTGCTCATATTTTGAAGAAAAGGGTGATTCTAAGAAGTCAGAAAGATGGTCCATTTTACATAATAAAATAGATCTCCAGTTTTGTTTAAACACTTGTGTCACCAACTACAAGTGAGAGAGATTAGTAAACAAAACTTAATCCACTATGGTAGAATGTAAAATGATTAATAAATTTAAAATTTTTTGTTAACAATGATATCTGAATATTTTAATTATTCACCAAATAATTATCTGGATATTTGATTGAATGAATATTCAGCGGACACAACCTCTATACAAAAAAAATTTTCTTTTTCTTTTCTTTCTTTAATTAAATGGTTGAAAATTTCTCATACTGGTAAAATATTAATAATCACTTTAATATGAATGTTAAGAGGCTGTTTAGAGATGCATATGTATGAAAATCAACAATTTAAAAAATATTTTTCATTAACCGTTGTTTTCTTTTGATCAATTGATTGTTATTTCAGTGGCAGATGTGCTAGGTATGTTGGGAGAGAGTTGAAGCATGGATATGTAAAATTTGTTACTAAATTTTTTAAAAAATTGTTTAAAAGTGAAATTATTGACCAGAAAAAATTTGCATGTCATAAGTTTTATGCAATAATTTTTTATTCTAATAATAATAATAATAATAATAACCACAATAATTATTTATCACCAGGATCTAATAACAACAACAATAATAACGATAGTAGAATGACATTAAGTGATTATAATCATTATCCTAGAGGTTGTTCGAGAACTTCTAGACCCTTAACTGCTAAATTTTATAATATAAGGGATAGTATTTATTCAAAATTTAAATAATAATTGTGTTAATTATAATTTAGTAATAATGTTTTTTTTTATATTATGAAATAGACTTGTAAATTTTTTTATTTTCATTTAATAAACTTTTTTACCATTTATATTTATTATTATTATTATCTTTATTAAAAAATAAAAATGAAAAATAAAATTTTCCCAAAAAGTAATATCAACAATCGACTGCGCCGGAGTCTCCTCTCAACAATTTGTAGGAACTTTTTTCCCAGGTTTCCGCATAGCGAATAGTAATAGGACTTACTTACGCCTTTTCCTTTTTTAAAGAATTTCTGGAAGTTTTTACCTTGCTTGCTTAAGTGATACTATCTATTTATTGTTTATTTTTTCCTTTTAAGAACAATAATTAGCCATCTGTTTTTTCAAACTATATTTCTAATCCGTTAATTTCGACCACTCACTCACTGCAACGTTTTATGTAAGTTATATATTGATATATATATATGTATATTAAACTACCATATAGAAAAAATAAGATGGATCATCGTGATAATTTTATTAACGGGGGGATCTGAGAAATAACTGTTTCTGGAAAGGGATATTGACAAAGAATTAATTGGCGACAATAAAGATAACTTGATGAAGCAAGAGGCAGCGATATATCCCATTATTCCAAATTTATTATTATGGGACAATGTCGAATTCATCACGTAAAATCGGGAACAAATTGATTTGTACTAGTACTAGGGCCTATTGGAAAAATTCAAGTTCTAAATAATCTACGATTTTTGATATTTACCTACCTATTTATATTGAAATTTTAAGCCTGGCTTTTCTCTTATTGTTATGCAGTGAGTGTGACCTTTAACAAAAATAAACAAATAAACATTAAGGGTAAATGTTATTATTACTCGATTATAGTTTTCATTTAACAATTAAAATTTTCACATTACTAATTACTAATGTTTAAATTTAATCCATTCACTGCATCCAATGTAACACTTGGGGTTTTTAAATCAATAAACATTATCCTTATTGGGATAACAGGACAAGATATCATTT